CAATATAAAGAGATGCAATGTCTGTAACATATCGAGAGATTATTCAAGGCCAAGGTCAGATCAGGTCAGCTATCCGAGTGAACGCCAAACAGCATACAAAAGTGTTATGTTGAGCGCAAAATTGCCGAACTGTGTGAATGGCGATGTATGAGCCATTCCGTGTCACGTCACACTGAGCCTTGAAAAACTCTCATGTTCAAACAGGTGCACTTTCCAAACAGCATCTTCCTACCGTTGAAATGCATACCAACAATGTTCATTTGCACGGAGGCATATACCGGATATGGGGAGTGTAATGTGATGCAAGATAGATGTCGCAAAAGGTCACATAATGGCTTCAGGGAGCCTCACCTCATCCCTTGGAATACAGTCAGGGTGGATCCAGAGGGGGGCATGGGGTCATGCCCCCTCCCCCTTTGACCCGAAGGGATCCCATCGGCTCCGAGAGGGCCCACATTCGGCCGAACAGACGCAGTGCTTTTATACAGAACGCAACAATATTGGACGTTTTTGAGCTTTCAGGTGACCAATGACAGTTGCGAGCGGAAATGGAGAGCCCGCGAGTACATAAAAATATTTCTCAACTCATTAAGAGGGTGGTAATTGGGAGGTCTAAAGACTGCTTACGCTCTACAGAGGCCGTACGCTTTTTCCGGGGGCCCTATATGTTCACTTGCGGAGTCAACCTGATCGTTAAGGAGCCTTCTACGTTGCCCTTGATTTCTTTGCATTTGCTTAGAGGGTCTTACGCTGTTGGTGCCCCCCCCCCCCCCCCCGCCAGCGTGCCGAGGCACTCTGTCAATCAGGGGCCTTCCACGGATTCCTTCCATTCGCCCGAAACGCTTTCTACGCTAGAGGCGCGGGGGGGGCATATGTTAACATGCTGGGGTATTCTTATTTGCTCAGGGGCCCTTCACGTTGGTCACGGTTAACCCATCGGCACACTCACGGTATGCTCATGGGCTCTCTTCATTGGTCTAGGGCATTTCCAATTTTCTGTCACTCGCTTAGGGCCCTAAGCTCTTGTCTGTTGCCCATCTTTTAACCTACTTAGGCTCACTCGGTCGTTCGGGGCCCTCCAAGGTGGGTCTTAGGTACCTCCTATTTCAAAGGAGGGTCCTATGCACCTGTTGGGGCCCCTATAGGTTAACCTGTCCGTGTACACTGGACTGTTCCAGGACCCTGCACATTGGGTTTTTGTATTTGAATGCAGGGCCCCACGCTCTCGTCAGGGCCATATGGCAGCCTGCACGGGTGCGCTCGATCCTTCGAGGACCCTCCACACTGGGTTCTGGGTACTTCTCATTTGAATGGAAGGCCCTGCGCTCTTGTCGGGGTCCCATTTGATAGCCTGCTCGGGAACACTCGACCGCTCGGGGACATCTTTATTCGTCTTGGGTACTTTATATTCGAATGGATCGTTGAGGGCCCTATCTGTTAACCTGCTCGGGTGCACTTGATCGTTTGGATCCCTCCACATTGTGTTTTGGGCATTTGTTGTTTGAATACAGCGTCCTACGCTCTTGTCAGAAGCCCCCCCCCCCCCCATCTGCTATCCTGCTCGGGCACACTCGATCATTCCTGGGCCCTCCATGTGGTCTCTTGGGTGCCTCTTATTTGAATGTACGGCCCTCTGCTGTTGTCGGGGCCCCGTCTATCAAACCGCTCGGGCTAATGTTGGATCCAGAGGAGGGGGCAGGGAACAGTGTTCTCTCCTTGTGCCCCGAGGGGACCCATAGGCTCTGAAGGGGCCCATGACCAGGTGGACGGACGCAGTTTTCAAACACAAAACACAACAATATTGGACGTCTTTGGACCTCCAGACGACCAAGAACAGCCACAAGTGAAAGTGAGCCCCGTGAACAGATAAACTCATTACGTTGTCCTGAGGCACTGCGCTGCTGCCGGGGGCCTATATGTCTACTTGCCGGGTCAATCCGATCGCTAAGGTGCCTCCCACGTTGCCTTTGAGTTCTTTGCAGTCTCTCGTAAAGCCCGACGCTGCTGTTGACGCGCCATCCGCTAACATGCCTGGGCACTCTTGATCGATCAGGGGCCCTCCACGTATGCTTCCCATTTACCCGAAAGGCTGCATACGCTTTTGTTGGGGCCCCATATGCCGGGGTGCATTCAGTTACTCAGGGGCCCTTCTTATTGGCCTGGGGTTTTTCCACTTGCTCGGAGTGTCTTGCGCCTTTGCTGGGGCTCATATAAGATAAGCACCGAGGCACTCGATTCATCAGAGGCCCAGTATTTAGCAGCTAACCTTAGCTTATTTTGCCAATTTTTTTCCGAAAAGCTTAGCCTCGAAATGACGGGATCCGCCATGGTCTGGAGAAAATGAATAAGTCCATGTATGTGCATACGTACCACGCCTAGCTTTCTAGGGATGTGCACAATAAGATGGGTTTCTGTATAAAAATAACGCACCAAGGATCTTAAAATTTGCTAGCTGGACTGCGAAAGTTTCTGTTGGGGAGCCCGAAACTCTATCGAGGCCTCACAATCTTGTGTGGCTCCCTTGGCGAAACCCTGGATCCGCACCTGAACGCAGTGAGGCATACTTGCAGTTAAATCACTTCCAATCTGCGAACACAGAGCTCCATAAATATGTTAGCGGTATAGGTTTAAACACGTTTGACCCAGTCCGCCCTGTCAGCAGTAGGCGATGGCTTTCATTAACCCAAGAGCCCGTCGAAGAGCACGTGCGGGGCCACCTTCCGTTCTTTTGAGCGTTTGCTCCGGCGCACCAGACATGGACACCGGCAGAGTGAAGCGACTGTCGGCGTTAGCACCTTCGTCAGCGTGGGCTGTCGAAGGCGACCTTATATCAATATAAGTCGGCGATCGGCGAAATTGACGAGGGCCAAACGAGGTTTCCTGCACTTCTCGGGTGAATCTAACGGTGCCCGCTAGCCAGACATCGCTTTTATCGCTTGTCGGGTCCTGACAGCCACGCACCGAACAAGCGCTGCTGGAACCTGGAGGTATCGAGAAGGACGCGGGTGGTAGTTATCGGCGGAGGGGTTTGAAGGCCAAGCTGTCGGCTCTGTGATCACTGCAGGTCGTGCCATGAATTGTCGGTCGTTTGATTGCCCTCGGTGCCAACACGGCAGCGTGCGTGAAGGCTTATGACGGATGGTGACCTCTGCATTCGCACGCGGCGCTGAATAACTGCGGGACTACGACGTCATGGATAATTATATCTTGTGACTTGCGTAGTGGAAGATCATTCAGCAATTGATGCGGGGGTGGGGTTTCCTCAGCGTCAGAGTCGGCGAGTGGGCGGGCCCAGGGGCAGCGCTGATCCAAACGAGTCAGGTTCGGATGCCAGTACATGACACGCTCAGGTACAAAACGGAAAGAACGCTAACTCAGTGATGCTTTTTCTAGTAAAATCTGTCGGATGCAGTGGATTTGTGTGGCGTATGCTATGTTATATGCTGCGGTATTTATTGCGTGCATCTGGGCGTCGATGGACTGGTATTTTAATGAGATGCAGAAATTATAGGGCATGGGTGTGGGCGTGCGCTTACTGTACGCCAGTACGCGCGGCTGGAGGCACTCACCGATTGTAGCGAACTCGTAATAACTAAGGCCTGAGGCATGGCCATGCGAGCCGTCTGTTGGCTCTGCTGGCTTAGTTCCTCAGTTCTGCATGAAGGTTTATGCTCGCCCCGCGAAGGTTCGCCGACATGGAGCAAAGCTAGTTAATCATCGCCAGCAGTAGCGCGCAGCCGATGCATTGCCCTCTACTGCATGTATTTCCCCTGCAAACAAAACGTCTCTTTCAACCGGTGACCGGTGAATGCCGCCCGCAACAAACGCCGGCTCGCTATTTAACTCTCCTATGCAGCAGTCTTCGCAGCAGCGACGTATTTGTAGAAACAAATTCTGCGCAGGGGATTTTCTTGCAGTCGCGAGCACCAGCCCAGCTCGCCCCTTTCAGCTCCACCCCGTGGTCAACAGCCCCCCCCCCCCCCGAACGGTCGTCGCCTCGCGTGAGGAGCTGTCGCCTGCATGACGGCACGTTCCCCAGTCACAAACGCCGCCGGCCAATCGATACGGCTTTGCTCATGTACCCGCCGGCGCACCGACGCGCCCGGCGACGGATGACGTCACCGCGGTCACGTGACCGGCCACCGCGCGTCCCGCCTCGGGCAATTCTGCTGTCTCCGCAGCGTGGCCGCGTTTTGAGGCGGCGGAAACGGCGTGGTGTGCGGCCCGCACGTGCGGAGGTTAGCGTCAGGGCTGCCCTGAGTAGCCCGTTCTGCTGCGGGCGGGGTCGAAATGTATCGACCTCGGCCAATTACTGCCGTTTGGCTCGCTAGGTTTCCACGAACGAGGCTGGAAGAAATGCCCTCGCTGTGTGCGCGGTAACTTGTTGGCACTCGAGCCCCCTCAGTGTTACTACTGCGATCAACCCATATCACGTTACAGCAGCGGTGTGTCTTTTTAGTCGCAGCAGCCATATTATGCTGCTCAAGTTTTCTAGGACCTGCTGGAATTGACATTTAATTTGCTGCATCATTCAATGCATGGTGTCGGATTTGTTGCACCGAAGATGGCTCGTACAACAGCCTTTCAACGCAGTCACTTTTGTGGTCACATGCGGTCATTGCCATTGAGTAGTAACAGGGACCCATTTGACGTCTGGGACTTCCCCGTTTTTTAAAAATGGTACACATCACTTCTCAATTGTTGAGACGAACTCAAACTATTGACCTTCAGTGGCCTCTGAGAACGGTGCCTGCATGTTATATGTGTCCACTGTGACCTGAGCGTGACCTTTGGGACCTGTTGACCCGTGGACCTCTGCCGCAGCCGGTGCACTTTCCGGCCTCCACCGTGACCTCTGTGGCCTAAGTATGACCTCTTTGACCTGTCGGCTCGTGACCTCTGCCGCAATCGGTGCCGCAGGCGGCCTCCAGTGGAGACGAATGACCCCTGTGACTTGAGAGTGACCTCTGTACCCTGCTGACCGGTGACCTCCGCCGCAGCCGGTGCCGCAGTCGGCCTCCACCGTGGAGGTGTGCGACCCCGCGGCGCTTAGCCGCTGGTCCGATGCCGCGGCGGCCGAGGTCATGGCTGGCGAGACCTTCCTCGACCGCAGCCTCACAGCCATCGACTGGCTGCCCCAGGTCAGCAGACGCTCCGCCCCCATCCCCTCAGGCAGCCACACGCACCTGACGCACGTGCTCCGAGCGGCGCACTCGCTCAAGGCGTCACCTGCGCTCGCCGTGCCGTCTGGCGTGTTTGTGCGCTGCCATTTCTCCCAGGTCGCTGTGCTGTGCTACATTTAATGATTTTGTGTGTCATGACCCATGTTTGCGCCTACTGGCCCGTCGGTGTTGGCGTTTTTTCGCTGACGCCGAGGAACAGGTCATCAACCCCTGAGGTCATCAGTGAACAGCCCAAAACATTGGCTAAAGAATTTGCCATGGATGATCGGTTCAAAATGGTTTATGTTGCCTTTTCCCATAAGGCTATCTTCCCCTCGGCCATCTCTTTCTTCCGCGCCGCAGCCATGAGCTGAGTCGAGTTCCTGAAAGTCGCATCGCTCGCCGCTGCACTAGGCCTCACAGTCCGTGCTGCAGACATACCACAGGCCGAGGTCTATTCGCGTACTGGTCTAAGCCGTTTCACACCGTGAAAATGCCGATCGATGCAGGGACCTCGGCGGCTGTTTGCCGTCCACCGGGCTCTGTCTGCACACCTCGTGTGCGCCTGTGGTGCATATGATGCATGTAGACCAGTGTCCTGCCGTCGCTGCGCGCAAGGTTTGGAACGACTTCAAATTGACCCCCCGGGGACGTGACGGCCCGTGTGGTGGCGTCATGATTGCCCAGACGAATGAAAATATATTTCCCATGGCAAACAACGGCCCAGCTTGGCGCTGAATTTCATTTTTTATTGCGTTAGCCGGCAGTGCCATTTTCAGCGTTGACAATTTACCGAGATATAACACGATCTAAAGTGGAGGCCAAACGACCGTCGGCCGCGAAACAACGATGCCGAACTGGCAATCGCCTTGTCATTTCGGAGTACTTCTTCAGCACCATTTTTGAAAGGCAATAATGACCCAGGCAATTTGCGTCGTCACATTGAATCTGAAGGACGTTTACAGCGCCGAGGCCAATATTGTAAACCCAACTACTGTCACTGACGGACTGCTTCCTCCCACTCACAGCCACTCTCGATCGTGGTGCACTGACAATACATCTACGGTGGGAAGGTTTCTTTGCCCTGTCAGCACAGCGCTGTTGCCGCACTACCAGCGCTGTGTCTGGCTGCTGACGGCGCTGCTGTGTGCTGCTGTGCGACAGCTCAGCGCCAAGAAGACGCTGGATCAGACGGTGGCCGCGGCGGCGGAGATGCTGGGCGACGGCCGCAGTCAGATCGCCCAGGCCGACTCCACCGGCGACAGCCAGCTAGCCAACGGCAAGCCCCCCTACAGGTCAGTCGCGTCAGGTCAGGCCGCCAACGCCAAGTGAGGTCAGGTAAGGGCAACAGGGTCATAAGAGGCCAGGCAAGTCGGATCAGGTCCGTCGAGTAGTCAGTCGGGATAGGTCAGTTGTGTCAAGTCAGTCAGGTCGCTTGGATGAGGCCGGTCGGATAAGGTCAGCCAGGTTCAGGTCAACCCTGTCAGGTCAGCTGGAGCAGGTCAGTCGCGTCAGGCCCAGGTCAGTCGGATCAGGTCGGTCCGGTCATATTAGCCGGATCAAGTCAGTCGCATCTAGGTGGTAGGTCAGCCCGACATATCAGGCGTTAGGAAGCATTTTCTTAAGTACTAGTGGCAACAAGCACACCATTCTGAAGCAGAATTTCTGCTGCATTCTGCCGACGTGCTTTATTGTCATTACACTGCGCACAGGGTCACGCAATGGCGTGACCCGATCGCTGGCGACGAGGTTGCTGAGGATTGCATGACTTTTGCGTGACTTTTCAGCTTAGATTTGAACAAAGCCGACCAGTCGTGGCCATAAGTTGGTTCCACCACGCAATCAGAGAACAATCAATGCACTGACGTCACAAACATTGCCACAAACGTGAACGGCGACGACCAATCATGAAAAGTGAACAAAGAAACTAATACTTACCCGTCATTATACCAGCACCAGCCTTGAATCGAGAAACGCGTTCACACTTCATGCAGTTAGGCGCCTTACGCGGTTCGCCCCACACCATACAGCCTGGCGCGCCTGGGTCAGCCGGCGAGGGAGACTGCGTCACAAGCTTCCTGTGTACCTGTATGGTGTCATTATTGCGGCACGGTTGCACATAAATACTTTTAGATAACATCGCTGAAATCAGGACGACAAACCGTTTCAACGCTAAAATTCGCGATGATCGGTTTCATTGGTACTCATCAAAACAGCACCTCGCAGGGCGTGGCGTACCAGCTCCTTTCCCGTCTACTTGACCTGCCGTGACCTTGAGAACGCTCGAGCCCGTCGTCGGTACGCTCTAGCCCCCGTCGCTCTATCGATGGCACCTTTGTCAGCGGCGCCGTCCCCTCGCCACGCCCGCCGTCACCTGCCCTTCCGCCATTCGCCGCGGGCGACGCGCGCTATTCAGCGCGAACCTCGCGGCATTCACCTGAGCGCCGCGCCGCCCACGGTCCGGCGGCGTGACGTCAGCGTGACGTCACTGGCAGTCGACCGGCGCGGCGGGCCGTGGCGCTGGTCGGGCCGCGGCGGCGGCGCTGGTTGGGCGGCGGCGGCGGCGGCAGTGGGTCCGCCAGACGCGATTCTTGAAGTCCGGTTTCGTTCGCCCCGGCGCCCTGCCGCTAACGATGAGGGGTCTGGAGAGGGCGCGGAACAGGCTTCAGCCCTCCCCCCTTCCGAATGTGTTGCCCGTGACCGGAGAAACAGGTTGTCGTCCCATGTCTGAAAGGTTGCGTGTTTTAAAGCGACATGACGCGTGTAACAGCAGGCTTGCGGCCGGTCTACGTCCATCCTGGCTCAAGCGCTGCTTTGCAAGCCAGAGGCGTGGTTTTTGTGCGCATCGCGCACGAATGGAGTAAATTTTTACACGAAGTACTGCAGTTTTCTTGACCAAGGGCGGCTGGGGGCTTTCACCGACTCTGAAATACTTGTCGTCGAAGTTTGTACACGCGGAACTGCTCGAGAGGCCATTATCGTTACTGGAAGGTGAAGTGCATCGAGCAAAGCTCACTATGCAGCACGCCAGAAGCATCAGAACCGCCAGCAGTTTTTCAATATCGCATACTCAGTGGTCATGCAAAGTACAGATTGACGAAAGAATGTCGCAAAATCGAAACAGCAGAGCATCTTCGTTGCCCGCTTAAACTTATCGCTGCCTCCCTGGGTGGGAGCTCAGCAGCCCAACCGTGATCAGGTCGCCACCACGTGCATGATACTGACCCCACCGATGCCGTAATGAGCACGGCTTTGGTGTGGAAGCAGGCTCAGCTCGCCTTTGTAATTCATTCACTATGTTGTTAGTCCCAGGGCTGCTTCAGGAACTCGAGCGAGCAGCACGCAACTTGCAACGGATAAAAACACTGAAAACCTTAGCCGGATGGACACCGTGTGGCCGCCAGCGGTCTTGCCGCCATGCTTAATCAATAGCGCGCGAGACCTCCTGTTCCCATGGCGCACACTGTAGACCATTGCCGCTGTGTGCCGATGCAGGTGCAACACATGATGGGTACTCACACGAATGACGTTAGAGCTTTTTTGACCTCTCTCACCCAGGAGACAGGGGTCAGGGGTCGGTGAAGTAGCGCGACAGGAAATAAGGACATGGCTGGCGCCAGGAAATAAGGACCACAGCGCGCGGGATGGGTTAGCGCGGACAAGGTGCGGCAGCGGGCTGGGGGTCCAGGGAGCCTTGTCCCCCACTATGCATGGAACGGGGGACAAGCTTAGCAAGGGTCAGGGATCGTGGCACAGGCCGGCAGGGGTCATTATCAGTGACGCCGCTGGTAAAGTTAGCCTTACGGGAATGGTGATAAAATTATTATAATTTGTTTACACTTACGCTTATACCAATACGCCTACACAATTGCATGTTACATTTCACTTACACTATTATTTACTCTTAAGCGGCTCGGCCAGCCCGTCGTCATTTCTAGAAGCTGGTATCTTTGTGACCGCTGATCCTAGGTTCATGCAGTTCTCAGCAGAGAGTCGCCAGATGTTGTGCCGGGCGTCGTAGCGGCACGAGTCCACCAAATCGCGACGGAGTTGCAAGCGGTCAATCGCATGACCAAAAGCGTGAGACAAGACGTGCGTAGATCACTCGCTCTCGTGCGTAAGCTTCTGGTTCGCTCGTTCTAAGGCACGCTCAAGGATTGGCGCCAGGTCTCAGCAACCAGATGAGATGAAGACGTGGGACGTGCTGCGCGGTGGTCGGCTGCAGGGCGAAGTAACGGCTGCAGCTCATTAGCGAAGTTTAAAACTATCCGAACCATATGTGTACCAGAAGTCGACCGGAAGGCGGCTAGTATCACATTCTCCGAAACGGATCTCAAATAATCAAGAAATAAAGATGAGTCAAACGAAGCAAAGTATCATACATCTCAAACTCAGGACGTTTCGGCTTGACATGATATATGAAATGAGCTGTGCGGCATATCGAATCATGAAAACTACACAGCCGCGTATCCCCGCTTGTTGCGATCAGTGTAACTTCATCCACAGTTACCAGAGGTGTAAAGAAACACAAATGCATCGATCTCGGCATGGAGACTATCCGATTTGGTGATATACCCTTTGTCATTGGCGGGTGAATGCTGCGTCGGCGGACCTCCGCCTGTTGACTTATAATAGGTAGACTTTCCAATGAACTGGTGAATATGTTGGCGATGTTACAGGAGTGTCCGATTTCGTTAAATTAATCTTAGTATTATCTTACATGATAACAATTATCAACATTTCCATCTGTTCCCTGATTCCCGATTATCAACATTCCCAACATTCTAGTCTGGACCTCCGCCTCTTAATTTATGATAGGTAGACTTTCCAATGATTTGATGAATCTGTTGGCGATGTTACAAGGGTGTCTGATTTCATTAAACTAATTTTAGCGCTATCTTACATGATATCAATTATCAACATTTCCATCTGTTTCCACCTCTCTCATTTCATGCCACATAAAACGTATCACTGCTTATTGTCCCTGGAGTCCGGCGTACCGCTGGAAGTAGTGCAGCCATTTATATGAAGGCAAACCTTCAACTGACATCTTTTAGTGACACCTTAAACAGTTTTAGCATATGGCTCAGAGAAGTTGCAAGTTTTCGTCAAGATGTGTAAGGCAATGGAGAGATAACATCGATGAAAAAGCGGATTTGCTCATAGGGGTTAGTTGGAAAGGTAGCTTCGCTATATGAATGTGATCACTGGTGAGTGCCCTTCCCGTCCATGAAGCTCCCCAGGTCCGAGCGGCGGTGTCGGGCCCAAGTACTCAAGCACATCTACACGCAAACAAGTGCCTCATTCAAAGCACTACGACATTTCCTACCAATCGACGGAGAGCTTCGGAGGTGATTCTCCGACATCTGCTGATCCGCTGATCTGCCCCTCCGACATCTGCTGATCCGCTGATCTGCCCCTCCGACATCTGCTGATCTGCTGATCTGCCCGATAGCTTGTTACTGGACGAGCCGGCTCCGAGTGGGCCTGTTATATGTGAAATGCACGAGTTTGGACCCACGTGATTGTGCTGGGATATGCTGCTGACGGGGGTTTGGACGAGCAAGACGTGGGTAATTAGCCTGGGGGCGTCGTCATCGGGAAATAGTTCAATACGTAAAGTGACTAGGCTGCCCCATATGTCACCAAGTGCTTTTTTTCGGCGGTTTGGAAATAAGCGGAACTTTGTACGACTCAGGGAGGCGGAAGCCTGGGCCTCTCCACAGCCACGGTGTTTAAGCTTTATGCTTTTTTGCAAATCTTGGGAATTCTGGTCAAGTGTGTAAGAAAACGACGAACAATGTGAAACGAGGTCCGCGGAAGAAAAACAATGTCCCACCTATATAATTGAATCTGAAGCATTTAAAAAAGCGTTTGTCATTTCCAACCGCTAAAAGTTACTTTATACCATGCGCCTGCAAAACACCATGTGTGTCAAATTCGAATTCCCAGCACACAACGGAGTGTAATTGTGCCACCACATCACGCCATTAATCGCTCTCGGGGAGAAAGGAGGACGCGATTTTGTGCCCCCTTCACACTGCACGCGACTTCTTCGAAGCAAGTCTTCCAACGGGGCTTCATGCACATTTTCTACTCGTCAGTATTGTTCATACCGCTGCATGACTCCTTTGTCACCAGCCAGCGTCAGTATCTATTCCTTATTTCGATAGTACTTGCACGACCTCAGCACCCACCATTCCAACCGTCCGTCAGCATGGCTAAACGGACATCAAATCTACGCTCTCAGATCTCAGCGCCATCCAAACCAAGCCGGTGCCCCGCCCCCCTGCCGGGGTGGCTGGAGCCGCTCCTGGCGGCGCGGGCGCCCCGGCGGCCTTGGGCGGCTGACCGCTGGCCGGCCGCGGCTGCTCGGTCCTGAGGCAATCAATACACCTGTCGTGCGCGGCCGACCCCGATGAATGGGCCTGGCCGGGCCGGGCGCCGCCAACGCCGCCCCCTGAGGCGGCCGCGGCCAGCCGTCGGCCGCCGGCCTGGTCGCGATAATGGCTGTTTGCTGGCGGCGGACCCCGACCAGCGGCGCGGGAATTGCAAGAGACGTCCGTCAGGGGCGTATCTGGGAGCCACCGTTGGATGCGAAGCCTTCCGCCTGGGTGGTAGCGGGATAGATTTTCGATAGAGCCGGTTTATTTTGCTAGTCTGCCGTCCAAGGGCAAAAAAGCCTGAGTGCTTTTGTACCCAATGGCGCAAAGACCTTTTTGCCTCTGAACGGTAGTAATGCTGACGCGAATATTTCTCAGAACCTTGACTCGCTACTCGTTTACGGTTAGAAGCTGGTCTGCTGGTATTAGAAGCCCAGTTTTCAATAACTGAAAATCTGCAGGTGCCTTTAAGTGGCTATGTATGGGGTTAAATAATGTGCAGCTATTGATCCTGACAGGGAAATGAGATGCATAGCTGTCCAAGGAGCCGCGAGTGCTCAAGGCTCTTCAAAAGTAGATACTCAATTCATATGCACAAAACAGTAATACTCAAGACCTTTCTTCATTACATCGATGTCACGAGCGTATCAAAAACCCTGTTTCAAATGATATTGCACTTTGCTGTGCGGAGGCAGATTATCGCGGTCATTGGCAAATGCAACAGGTAGACACATCACATTTGATTACGGTCAGTCTGTTAGCAACAACTCGATGGCTTGAGGTGCAACAGAGAAGTTTGCTCTTATTTTCACCCCCCGCTCAGTCAGGTTATCGCATTCCGCTATTTCACAGAAAATGAATATTTCGGTGTCTTCACCCACCGTCTGTTGGGACTCACTCCTTCCAACTTCTTTTTTCTTCTTTGGCACGCACTTATCCCATTTTAAGACCCATTCGGTGTACAGATCATGGATCGTGGACTTCATCCCATACTAGAACTGCATGTGTGCCCACCCGTCTTCCGACCTCATCTTTTCGTTTTCTGTTATGCATGTCGACCTCATTAGACCAACCTTTCAGGTCCAGCTGAGACTCACATCTTCACATTTACCCGCGCCCTCAGCCGCCCGCGCCTCCCCCCCCCCCCCCCCCCTGCTGGAGCCTGTTGTCCCTGCCCTCTGATCTTTCCCCGTCGACAGCGGGTCTGTTGCTGCTGGCCGCTTTACGCAATAGCCGCCTGTTAATGACAACACTGATTGCCAGCAGGCTCGCGCCTTAGCACCAACATCACGCAGTTCATGCCTGCACCCAAGTCGTTGGGCTCACCGCTGGTTCTGACACATTGCAATGACAACTACCTGACTACCAGCCGGCATTACCACACGTATGCCTAGACTGCCAACAAGGCCCGATGGCGGTTGTGCATCGTTAATCAATGCTCGAACCACTGGGTAAGGCGATACCCGAAGCAGCCCCCACCCCTTCCACGACTGTCGGTTTCATCATCGCCGTGTCAGCTTTTCGTGGGTGCCCCCCCCCCCCCCCCGACTTCGACGGCTGCGGTTACGTGCTTTCGTCAGCGGCGACAGGTGGGTAACGATTTCTCGGAGGCTTATGCATGATGACAGCTCGACAACTCACTGAAGGCTCGTGCTGGGATCATAAAAAACACCGGAGGTGGCAGCGCATCCCAGTGTTTTTCGTCTGGCGGCGGCGACAGGTGAGTGGTAATTTCTCCGAGGCCTCTGTACGACGTCAGATCGACAACGCGTTGAAAGCTCGTGCTGAAATCATTAATCACATCTGGGTTGGCAGCACATCCTGGTGTTTTCTGTGTTGCCGCATCTACTACTTTTTATTCTTGCCAGCTTTCAAGTGGTTTTGAAAATAGGCTTATGTGCGATGCGAATGGTCCAAACTGGCGTACACACCAACCAGGCCGGCATCCAGCACTTAGCCTGATACTTAACAACGCTCTTGCATTCTCTGCTATTCTTGTACAGGTTCATACTAATTAATCGCTGTTGCTTGCCTTATATCAATTTCTAACCCTTTAGTTTGCCTAAAAACGAACTCAGTTACACTAGCGATGATAACACAGGTTACGTGATGTGTGCCACCTGTCACCTATCACAGTACAGCCTTCACTACCAAAATTCCGAAGCACTAACTTCATTATCACTACTAACGTTCCTGAGCACTAACTTCATTATTACTACCAACATTCCGAAGCATCGACTTCATTGTCACTAATAACATTCCGAAGCACTAAGTTCATTACCATTACCAACATTCCAAAGCGCGTGACCGGATCATCCGTGTCCTGTTCTCAGCTACGCCAATTTGATATCGATGGCGATACAGAGCAGTGCCAAGCAGAAGATGACCCTGTCAGAGATCTACGATTGGATCACCGAGAATTTCCCCTACTACCGTGACATCGTGTCCGGTTGGAAGGTAAGCAGTCACGTGATAGCCTGTCCGGCTGAAGTGAAGTTACAGGCGCACCTTACGACAACGTGCAACATATCATTGAACATGATTCTTGAACCATTCCTTGTTGAACCACCGAGCCATTGGACCCGATGGCTCCAACAGTGGGTGCACGCCGGGCTTGCGTCCATCACTGAGAGGTGGATGACCGCATTTGGAACCCAACGTTGCGGCCTTTCAGTTTCGTCGTAGCGTACGCAAGAGCATCATTTTACTGTGTCATTTGATGCCCGTCCTTAAATGGCAGACCCATCATGATAATTAGCACGAGACGATGATACTTGGCATTTGAGGCCGTCACGCGCTCGTCTGTCGTTGTTCAGAGACGTGTCGGCATCGGCTCTACAACCTTCGGCACCGAAAAAAAGCCCGGGCGTCGATACCGCGGCACGCAATGTTTGCACCTCCCCACACCACATCCATAAGGCACTGGTGCCTGAGCCCAGTCGTGGCAGTGTGGGTCCCTGTGACGTCACGACGCTGTACAGCCTGCGTTACGCGACAAACGCAGCGCAGCAGTGGCGATGTGGTTTACGAGCTCGACCGCCGTGCCGAACCGTTCATCCGCTGGAACAAGAAAAGCATATTAACCTACGAGCCAGTACGTGAGCATCACTGGTCGGTCTGGGTGGGTGGCGCGCGAAGACGCAGGTCACAAGCGTGTGGAAATGGGGAAACATATAGGTGGAAAGTCTGACTTTCGAAAGGCGGTTGGATATGTCGCCGCGAGTGCCGAGGCAAACTTGGCGGAAGCGTGACGACCGAGACCCGTAGCTCCGAACAACAACGACACGCGCGCGGCTGTCGCGCGCCGTCGACGCCTGTCTGCTCCGGGCCACCCAGAACTTCCCCAGCCCCCCCCCCCCCGCCCCACCGCCCTTCCATCAGCCCGTCCAGCCACGATCAGCTGCTCCAGCGGCCGCCGAGGGGGCATCTGAGAACGTCTGGTGGGTGGGGAGATCGCTGATCGAACGGCCGCTGACCGCCGCCGCGGTATCGGTTCTCGGATTCCGACAACTACCGCGCTCCCAGAACAGGCTGTAAACGTCTTCCGCTTCCCGTTCCGGCCGTAAACGATGCAGACGAGCCGTTCGTCTCTTACTGTGTGGCATCGGCGCCCACTGAGAATTTGGTTGAAAAATGGCATTGCGAGTCCAATCTTTAAATGTCATTCATACCTACTCACCCCACAAGCCCACAAACGACCAGGGATGAAGAGATATCTAACAACTGTGGGGTAGGTATGATTACGCCCATTTACATATGATAACGCCCATTCTCGGGTAAACGATTGCCATGCCCCACCATAGAGGGCTGACCTTTCACGAGAAGTGGGACCGGGGGTGGGGTGGGGTGGGGGCAGAGTACCCTGGTCTCCTGTTGCTACGTTGATGAATGCACCAAAAGGCACGCACACGCGCACACACACACACACACACACACACACACACGCACACAAACGCACACACGCGCACGCACGCACGCACGCACGCACGCACGCACGCACGCACTCATATACGCACGCACACACGCACGCACGCACGCACGCTCGCACGCACGCACGCACGCACGCACGCACGCACTCTCAAAGCATCTTATTTATTAATATTAATACACGCCATATGGATGCAGTAATTACACAAGCTGTCAGCTCACCTAGGGACAAAAGGTCAATTGCTGGACTATATTTGGCTTTTTGTGAGCATCCGTCCAATGTCCAGCATGTCCGTCGACCACCATTAATTGATCCAGATGGTTTTTGCCGCCGCCTTTGCCACTGACGGGCTGACAAAAACCGACCGAGTCGACAGCCCTGATCCCGGGCGGACCGGGGCGCCGTCGGCTGGCTGTGGGCCTCGCTGCTAGTCCGCCGGGCGGGCGGGCGACAGGCGCAGGCTAGGTCCCGGCAGGAGCGGGTGGACGCCCGTGGGAGGGACGACTTCTGCCAGCAGGAGTGTGGGAGTCGGCAGCTATTCAACGCTGCATGCTGTTGCTGTTCATTGTCGATTTAAAGTGACTGGGCCGACCATTTTGTTTTACTTGGGTACATAGACGGGCATGTCCTCCTGAGTCATGCGGTATCATTCCTTGCGTCCTTGTGCTAGCTGCCCTTTTTGGGGTGCGATATTTCCGCATAGCTTGGGTTTTAACATTACCCTTAGGCAAGCCCCTGCTGAGGACATGACAGTGGTGCAGGCACCAGGTACGGATGTATTTTAGAATACATCGTCACAGCGCTGCCAACTTGAGGCAAGGGTGATCCAGCGGCAGCACTGCCGACTTGCATTTAGTGGAGATAAAAGCTGCTTTCAATGCAGCATTTTTTTTTTGTCTTTTTTGCATTCCACCCGGTCCGAGAAGCACAATATTTCTGAAATCTTCTGACCGTCAACCCGAGGCTACTCTTGCTTTTCAAATAACTATTACTACTCTGCTGATCAGAAGTATTCCTGCCCAGTCTTCTCCTCGCCCCTGGCGTCCGTGTCCAGGATCGGCGGAGAGAGGGTGGGGGGGGGGGGGGGGCAGTGCCACTCGTTCCTCCTGCAGCACCCGCTTCACTCCGACCCGACCGCGGACCGCGGCTGACTCAGTCCGGCCGCCACACGTACAGGCATCGATTGCTGCCTGCGCCCCCCCCCCCCTCCCTCCCGTCCCCTCCTGGGTACGCCAACACACGGGCGACAGCCGGGGTAAAAAAAGGAGATCCGTGCTACGAACGTGGGAGAGTCATTACAGCGCCCGATGGCGTGCTCACGGATAGTCCGGGCCATCGGCTCGCTTGCCAAATCCCCTGAGCTTCTGTTATAGGGCTGGTACGGCTCCTCATGGTCGGCGGCACGAGCCACTGGTACAGCATGTGCCGTCGCCCACCTTCCGTCACTTTTTGTGCTGGTCGTGTCTTATGATAAGGTTTGGAAGGTTGGAACTTCGAAGTCATGTTTGGGTAGCAAATACTTTTTTGGAGCGGGAAGGGTTTCTTTGCGCGGTGGCATCATTGTCGAAAATGTAGTTTAAGAACCACCTTTCGTTCTCTTGGTAGATCCCTTACTTGTACCGGTTTTTATCTTCCATTTTGACATTTGTTTTCAGCTTCGACCTTTACGCTGAACACCAGCTGATCCTGACAGTGACGTCACACTTCCGCGACCTACCGGCTCCGAGACTGTGACCTCCGGCCTCGAGACTGTGACCCCCAGCACTGAGACTGTAACCCCGGCCCCGAGACTAGGACCTTCTCTTTCCAGAGACTGTGGCCTACCTTCCCCGAGATGTGACCCCTTTCCCAGGACCGTGACGTCCCTTCCCTCAGACTGTGACCCCCGGCCCCGAGACTGTGACCTCCCTTCCCCGATCCTGTGACCCCCCGGCCCCGAGGCTGTGATCTCCCCGATCTCCCCGAGATTATGACCTTCCTTACCCGAGACTGGGACTTCCCTTACCCGATAATGTGACCTCCTTTCCGTGAGACTGTGACCTCCCTTCCCCGATCCTGTGACCCCCCGCCCCGAGGCTGTGGTCTCACTTCCTCGAGATTATGACCTTCCTTACCCGAGACTGGGACTTCTCTTACCCGATAATGTGACCTCCTTTCCGTGAGACTATGACCTCCCATCCTCGAGGCTGTGACCTCCCTTCCTCAAGTCCATGACTTCCCTTCCCTGGGACTGTGACCTGCCTTCCGCACGGCTGTAACCTCGGCCCTAAAACTGACCTTCCTTACCCGAGACTGTGACCTCCCCTCCCTAAGACTGTGATCTCCCTCCCGCGAGACTGTCACCCCTGGCCCCGAGACTGTGACCTCCCTTCCCTGAGACTGTGACCTCCCTTCCCTGGGACTGTGACCTCCCTTCACCGAGACTGTGGCTTCCTTTTCCCGAAACTGTGATCTCCATTTCCAAAGACTATGGCCCCCCTTCTCCAAGACTGTGACCTCCCTTCTTTGAGACTGTGGCCTCCCTTCCCCGTGGCTGTGACCGTCTCGTTGGGTCAGCCTCGCTGCCGGTGGAATTCTTGCAAATGTAATTTTTGGGAAGTGCGAAACAATCGTTTTGCATTTTTAAATATAAAGTATATGCCATAAACTAAGAATGTAAGCACATCAGACGAATTCATGCCTCAGATAATTATCAAATGTCATATGGCATGGACACGATGGATATAACGTCTGTTTTTTCTTCATGAAAGGAGGCATGAGCCTATGCAGCAGTGAAATGCTTACTTTAACAAGACACCACGTAGCGCTACGCTTGCGCTGGCATTTGCTGCGACGACATTAATTCTCATCGGCCCATGTCATGGTAAAAGGCCTGGAACATCAGAGTATAATTCGAAAAAGGTCGTGAAAAACGAATGAACGTGCTAGACAGCTGCCCTAAACCGTGGAACGACACCAAACTAGTAGCCTTTGGAAATTGCCGCTTGATAGAGAGCCTTCACTAATCAAAATCGGAGGCACTAGCTTCGCCACTGTGGTTGCATTTACTCCAGCTTTTCTCGGAAATTCCCAGAGCTTTGTGCGACGTGAAGAATATGCCTTGAGCTGAATGGTTAGAGTAATCTCATGCACCAGTTGCCCCAATAACGACGGTTCTTTTGAAAACAGGCAACAAAACCCAGCTTTTGGAATGTATCGTCGTCTTCCCCATTGAGTTGCGCTTTCACCTGAGTGCGCAACAGTTGTACAGTTTGATGCGACGCTTAGTTGAGTTTGCTTCTAATGAAACGAGTGTGTTTTAAACGATTTTATGTGCATATAGTTTGAGCCGTCTCAGAGCAGTTCATGGCA